TATAATCCCTTCAAATCCCTTTCTTACTGGAAAGGTTCCCTCCCCACTTTTAAAATTTTTACCTTTAATTCCCCACTTTGTAGTACTCTTCAACTGAGTAAGTCAACTATTTTGTTGAATGATCTTTCTTAATGTTTCCTGCATTGATTCTTGGTTTTTCTTTTCGTTTCTCTATTTTGTTTCAAGCCTTGCCACAGACCTGATTTCCCCTCTCTCTAGTCAGACCCTATTGACATACAGCTGTTGTCAATCAATCCTATATGCTATTCTTAAGATTACTATCTTAAAATGCCTTTCATCATGTTATTCTCCAACTTAAGTTCCTTCAGTAGCTTCCCATTCTCTATGAAATACAAATTCAGACTTTGTGATCTGACTTAGACCCACCTTTCACTTTTATGTCCCATATTGTTCCAAATTAACCACCACAAACTTGAAGGTCTCTATTTTTATTAGTCAGCTTTTCCTCACTATGACCAAAATATCTGGCAAGAACAACTTTGAGAAGGAAATGATGTATTTTTGATCATACATAGTTTTTTATTCCACGGTTGACCATCTCCATTGCTTTGGGCTTGAGGACAGACAGAGCATCATGGCAGCAGGGCATAGTAGAAGAAAGCTTTTCAGCTCATGGTAGTTGAGAAGGGGCGAGGAGAAGGAGGGAGAGAGACAGACAGAGAGCGAGAACTCGAATGAGAGAGCAAGCAAGCATGACCTCAAAGAGCAAGCCAGGGACAAGATATAGTCCCCAAGGCCATGCTCCCAGTGACCTTGTGCTCTACTTCTTTCAACAATGCCCCACTTGCCTATAGTTTTCACCGCCTCCCAGTAGTCCATTCAGCTACCAAAGGATTAATTCACTGAAGAGGTCAGAGCCCTCATGATCCAATCACTACCCCAAAGCCCTACCTCTGGACGTTGCTGCACTGGAAACCAAGCCTTTGACACATGAGCTTTTGGGGGACATTCCGGATTCAAAACAATACTACTTTATTGTCACCCAATATACCTTGTGCTTTTCTACTGCTACACTTTTGGATTTTTTATTTTTTTGGTGGTTGGGGGGATTGAACCCAGAGCCTCATGATGCAAACTGAGGCTCTATCACTGAGCTACCCTAGCTACCCCCCCTACTCCTCCCACCTCCACCCCTGTCCTTTAAGCTTTTATTTTATAACATCAATCTTTGAAAAGACTGCCTTTCTTCTTTCTTCTCTCTTTTTTAGGGGGGTCAGGGTACTGAGGATGGAACCTAGGGGTACTCTACCACTGAGTTACAACCCTAGTCCTTTTTATTTTTGAAATAGAGTTTTGCTAAGTTTGAGCTGGCCTCAAACTTTTGCTCCTTCTGCCTCAGCCTCAGGAACTGCTAGGATTACAGGTGTGTGCCACCTCACCTGGCTTATGCTATCCAGATATAGTCTCTCACCATATTATAATTTCATAGATTACTCCATCCCCTTTACTAACTCCCCTCTTATGCCAAATCAAAATTATAACTCTGAATCACAACTTAACACTTCTTGATAAATAAATATGTATAAAATTTATTTTTACCCATAGTGCTTAGCCTATGGGTAAAAGCACAAAGTAGTACATTTGTTAAATTAGCTTAATTTTTCTAATAAATTTTGGGATTCCAAGATAAAAGGTCTCCAAAATCTATATTAGGCTGAAAACATTACCAGAATTTACTTATAAGAGGTAGTTGGCTGGTCTGGGGCTGTAGCTCAGTAGTAGAGCACATGCCTGGCATGCATGAGGTCCTAGATTAGATCTCAGCACTGGAATAAACAATCAATCAAACAAATAAATAAGAGCTAGCCATTGGGGAAAAAAAGACTAACAAAACTTGAATAAATTTAAGAGAGACAATTGAAGGCTACATGTAAAATATTGTGTGCACATATATAAAAAAATTTAAAAGTAGGGTACTGAAATGACCCTTATCGAACTCACTAAAGTCCTTCCATCTTCTGAATTCAATATTCTAATTTCTCTTGAAGTCTATCACATTTTCTATTAGATTGTTTGCAAAGATAATTGCCATCATTTCTTCCATTTCATAAGGCCCTTTGCAAATGTGACTTTGCTGTTTTTCCCAAAATGAGGTGAAATTTATATCCATATACCTTGAATCTGGACTGGCTTTCTGACATATTTTGACTAACATAATATGCAACAATGACACAACTTATGAATTTATTTTTTTTATTGTGGTAAAATATACATTACATTAATTTTTTTTTTTTTAAAAAACATATGTTTAGATCTTTGATCCACTGAGTAAAATTTTTGTATATAAAGTATGGGAAGGGCTGAACTACATTTTTTCATGTGGATATCCAGTTTTCCCAGAACCATTTATTTAAAATGTTCTTTACCCACTGAATGGTGCTATAATTTTGATGCTGAATGTCACCAAAGACCTATGCATTAAAGGCTGGTACTGTTGGAAACTGGTGGAATGTTTGAGAAGTGGGATCTAGTATGAGAATCTTAGGTCATTGGGGGCATGCCCACAAAGGGAACTGAGAGACCCAGCCCCTCTCTTTCTCTCTTGCTTTCTGGTCATGAGCTGAGAAGTTTGCTCTGCTACTTGTTCCCTGCCACTGCCAGCTAACATTCCCACCAGAGGTCTAAAAACAATGGGTTTATGATTATGCACTGTAACTTTTAATAACTTCATAAGTTAATTCCTCAGGTGTTAATTAAGAATGATCTTTGTACTTTTCTCAAAATTTTTTGACCACAGATATGAGGATTTAGTTCTGAGCTCTCTATTTTATTCTACTGGTATACCTGTTACTCTGTATGCCAATACCACAGTGTTTTCATTAGAGCAGTTTTGTAGCAAGTTTTGGAATCAGGAAATGAGACCTTCAACTTTGTTTTCTTTTCCAAGATTGTGTTTGCTATAAAGGGTACTGTGGAAATCCAAATCAATTTTAGCACGAATTTTTCTATTTTTACAGAAGCACTAGGATTCTGATGTAGATTATATTGAATCTGTAGAACACTTTGGGCAGTATTAATATATTTTTTTAAATATTATTTTTTAGTTGTAGTTGGACACAATACCATTATTTTACTTTTATGTGTTACTGAGGATTGAACCCAGGGAACCGCACATGCTAGGCAAGAGCTCTACCACTGAGCCACAACCCCAGCCCCAAGTATTATTATCTTAATAATATTAAGTCTTCTAGTCTTTGAATAGGAGATGTCTTGTCTTTTCACATATTCTTTAACTTTTTTCAGCAACATTTTGTAGTTTTTAAATGTACAAGTCTTTCACCTCCTTGGTTAGAAACATTCCTGAATATTTCATTCTTTTTAATGCTACTGTAAATGGACAGCATGTATATTCTAAACTGGGATCAAGAGGCCTTGCAACTTCTGTTTTCAAGCTCTCAGAAGGCTGTTACTGCCACATAAAAACCTCAATGGGATCATATGAGCTACCCAACACTTAGCACAACTGCCAGACACATGAGCAGGTAATTTTAGAAAAACTATACAACTGCCTCAGTCAAGGTGGCAGATAAGTACAACCACTTGAGAAAGGAGGATTACTCAGTTAAACCTGACCAAACTGTTATCCCACAAAAAAGTGAGCAAATAAAATAGTTATCTTAAGCCATTAAGTTTTGGGATGGTAGCAAAGAATAACTGAAACTGAATTAAATCACTTTATTTGCTCTTTCTTAACTATGATAATTTATTCATTACTTATAGCTCACTCATTTCAAACCATTTCCCAGAGGCTATTAAGATTTATTCCAACTGAGACAAGACAGAGTTTTTGATGCTAAGTACTCTACATTATTCATCATGTTCATGAATTATTTAAAGCTTGAATGTCAGCATACTAAATAATTTATAATTTTTTTTAAAAGTAGACAACTTAAAATGAAATCTTACCAGAACTAAAAAAATGCAGATTTTTTCCTAATTTCTTATTTCAATATTGAAAAAACGGTAAACAGGCATTACAACCTGTGATTTACACTAAGATTTGCTAGTAATTATTACTAAACTTTTTGAGGATGGATTTTTAAATTTTATCATAACATTATTAGAAAACTCAAATAATCACATTATTTAGGAGAAAATTATTTAAACTTAAAAACATTCCAAATCTCAAAGAATTGAGGTTCATGATATCTAGGCAAAATGGCTTAATATTGCTTAAGAATTTTAAAGATATGCATGTATCTAAATTTTTACTTACTTATAGGTTCTGTGTTTATTTAATAAATATAAAAAATTACAATTTTATTTGGAAAAAAACTTCCAGAATACTATCAAAAGTAAAAAATTATTTAAAAATTACAAAAATTTACTTCATAAAAAATTTTACTCCATTAAAGAATTTATTTTGAGAATCTATTCTTTCAAATTCTGCAAACAGTTGCTTTAAAACTGAGTATCTGTATTCCTTGCACCATTTAAAAGAAATAAATAATAGTGGGGCAAAAGAAATAAAGAAAAATACATAATAGGCAATAAGGCAGTTTTAACTGAAGCTTATATGTGACCTAAATACATATAGTCCAGGACTATTATTTCTGACAAACCAAGCAGAATTAGCACTCAAGTAGAAACTAATTCAGATGCTTTCAAAGCAAATTTTTCAAAGTGTATGTCATAAATACTTTTTCATCTTTTATTCTGGTAACTGAGTTTACAGTCAGAAGTATCTCATATTTGCACTACTGAAAAATTCTTTTGTAATAGTTGTCATTTTAGTTTTAAGAAATCCTACATATTTCTCTGAATTTGAGCCATGATTTATTTAACTATAAGCAATTATTTATGTTCTCTGTAAAAATCTTTCTGCAAACAAACTACAATTTCACCATTTCCCTACTCATACACATGGCTATATGTTAAATATTAATAGTCCATAATTTGTATTTATAAATTATGTGTCTCAATGTGATGATAAAATACAAATGTAAAAAACATAAGTGGAAGAATTCAAATGTACTTACAAAGTCAAAGTCTCCATCTTGAGGAACTTTCCAGTTATCAGGAAAAACATTTTTGGACATAGGGAAGGGTTCATGCATGTTCTGATTACAGTTTTCATGATTCTTATTCTTGAAGTCTTGCTTATCAAAGTAGTCCATGAAAGATGGTCTTTGTACTTGTGGTGAAGTTGCATTTCCTTAGGAAAACAAAGAACATAAGGAGGGCATAAGCTCTTACATTTAAAGATGTATGATCTTTATTGAAGTGTGATTTTTTATTTATTGGTACCAGGGATTGAACCCAGGGTAACTTAACCACTGAGCCACATCTTCAGCTTTATTTTTTTATTATTTTTTTTGCACCAGGGATTGAACTCTTGATCCTCCTGCTTCAGCCTCCCGAGCCGCCGCTGGGATTACGGGCATGCGCCACCATGCCCAGCTGAAGTGTGATTTTTTAAATTGAGCCATATAATAAATTAGTACTGCACAAAATCAAAGCCAACATATCAATTTATGAAGAACAAAGTAAAATAAAACATACATTTAAAAAAGTATCCAAACCCAATAAAAATTAAACTGATAAATAGATCTAAAATATTCTCAGATTATAGAAATATTTCAGATTTTCAGCAGAATATCATCTTATTAAAAATCATATCAGATGTCTTTGAAATTTGTCAAAGAAAATGAACTTTAAAAATCCAAGTGTTTTTGGTGTTCTTTTTTACATTTAATCCTGTATTATTATTGTAATTAACAAACTTTCAGCTGTCACAAATTATAGAACTTACTCAGGATTTCTCTTACACCAATTTCACTACTCCCTCAATCTCACTAGCTGTTTTCCTTCTCTCTAAACTTTCAAGGCGTTGTCTGACATATTTATATGCATGTCTTCCATAGCTGTTTTCTCCAGCCCAGACCTTGCTCGTAAGTTATATCCAATTTTATAACTGCTTGCTGTTTTAATACTTAATCTGAGATGATTTTGAGTTACTAATCGCCAATTCTGAAACTAAATACAAGAATTTTTTCCCTTAAATCTGCAGACCCTCCCAAACGTTCTATCCTGGTTAAGGTCAAAATTATTTATTAAATCTCCCAAAGTGATAAACTTAAGAATTAACTAAAAGACATCTCATCATACTGAGGCAAGCAAGTAGACCCTACACCCTCAGACAGAATAAGGGCTTCAGAGAAGGGAAAGAAGGAATGAGACCATGCTATCCTAAAAGGAGACACTGGGCCTGAGGAATATTCTGTCATTGTCCCTGACAGCTTCAACCCCAACACCTCTTTTGTAGCTAGAATGTCAATGTCCTCTTACTGTTCCTAACAACTTCAGTCACCAGAACTCTTCCTTAGCTAGCTACCCTTACCCCTACCTGTAGCAACAGCTGAGCATCAGATTCACCCTTATTTGAAGTACTTCCTATCCTGAATAGACGTGCCAAACCATAGGTTGGATTCATCCTCTTAATTTTGTAAATAAGGGATTGAAATTATACATTTCTGATTGGTGTATTAAGCTCAGAGCTTGAAGAGCTTGATTGGTAAATGCAAGTATCCCTCACCCCACCAATCATCTGTACTGGGCCATCAGTTATACCTTTAAAAACCCCTGGACAACAGACATCCACTGGCATCCGTCTTTTGGGACCCCTCTCTCTTTGGGAGCTCTGCTATTACTCTAATAAATCCTGTTACTTTACTCTTACCCTTGTGTCTGTGGATTTCATTATTCAAATTTGTGAGACAAAGAATCAACTGGACATCTACACTCTTTGTGTTACAACATCAAAATGATCATTAAGTGTTTTTTCAAAAAAATATTTTTAGTGGTAGACGGACACAATACCTTTATTTATTTATTTATTTTTATGTGGTGCTGGGGATCGAACCCTGTGCCTCACATGTTCTAGGCGAGCACTCTACCACTGAGTCACAAGCCCAGCCCCTGATCATTAGATGTTTTTAATTCTTCTATTCATGAGTTGTTAAAATTAACCCTTTTTCTCTATACATCATTGCTATTGTCTTAGTTTAGTTTCTGATGATTTCTTGCCAAAGTCATCATACAGCCTCCAAACTGGTCTCCATGCTTCCAGTAGTTCAGTTTTGATTTTATACTGTCAACACAGTGACCTTTGTAAATACAAACCAAACCATGTCATTGTTCTTGCTTAGAATCTTTCAATCAATCCCCATTTTTTTTATACTGAAGAATTGAAGTGGGAAATAAACATTTAGAATAACTAGATTTTTAATCTGGCAGTTAAGGTATTGATCAGTAGTCTCCAAACTGGATTCCTTAAAACTCTAGGACTCCAAATAAATGTTCAAGGACCACTAAGAAGGCATCTTCCACAAAATTTTCCAAATAGAAAATAAGCTACCTTCTTGAAAACTTCATGAGGGAATACAGGACATTCAAATCTCTCCTGTAATTTACACTCATGTTCCAAACAAATTCCTCTGTCTCTCAGATTTATGAAAACAGATATATGGCTCCTATCTTGGCTATCTGTTTTTCAGATGAAACAGCCCCATTTTCTTTTGTGTGACATGTTTTTCAGACTCATCACCATCTTGTTTACTTGCATATGGGGACAGGTCAGTCTTGCAATGTTCCTATAAATTGAACCATAATATTCATAATAGTGATATGGCCAATCTAAAATGCTTTTTGCAATCATGAAATTCATATGGAAAAACAAAAGACCCAGAATAGCAAAAGCAATTCTAAGCAGGAAGTGTGAATCAGGCGGTACAGCGATACCAGATTTCAAATTATACTACAGAGCAATAGTAACAAAAACAGCATGGTACTGGTACCAAAACAGGCGGGTGGACCAATGGTACAGAATAGAGGACACAGAGACCAATCCACAAAATTACAACTTTCTTATATTTGATAAAGGGGCTAAAAGCATGCAATGGAGGAACGATAGCATCTTCAACAAATGGTGCTGGGAAAACTGGAAATCCATATGCAACAAAATGAAACTGAATCCCTTTCTCTCGCCATGCACAAAAGTTAACTCAAAATGGATCAAAGAGCTTGATATCAAATCAAAGACTCTGCACCTGATAGAAGAAACAGTTGGCTCCGATCTACATATTGTGGGGTCAGGCTCCAAATTCCTCAATAGGACACCCATAGCACAAGAGTTAATAACTAGAATCAACAAATGGGATTTACTCAAACTAAAAAGTTTTTTCTCAGCAAGAGAAACAATAAGAGAGGTAAATAGGGAGCCTATATCCTGGGAACAAATTTTTACTCCTCACACTTCAGATAGAGCCCTAATATCCAGAGTATACAAAGAATTCAAAAAATTAAACAATAAGAGAACAAACAACCCAATCAACAAATGGGCCAAAGACCTGAACAGACACTTCTCAGAGGAGGACATACAATCAATCAACAAGTACATGAAAAAATGCTCACCATCTCTAGCAGTCAGAGAAATGCAAATCAAAACCACCCTAAGATACCATCTCACTCCAGTAAGATTGGCAGCCATTAGGAAGTCAAACAACAACAAGTGCTGGCGAGGATGTGGGGAAAAGGGTACACTTGTACATTGCTGGTGGGACTGCAAATTGGTGCGGCCAATTTGGAAAGCAGTATGGAGATTCCTGGGAAAGCTGGGAATAGAACCACCATTTGACCCAGCTATTGCCCTTCTCGGACTATTCCCTAAAAACCTTGAAAGAGCGTACTACAGGGATACTGCCACATCGATGTTCATAGCAGCACAATTCACAATAGCTAGACTATGGAACCAACCCAGATGCCCTTCAATAGATGAATGGATAAAAAAAATGTGGCATTTATACACAATAGAGTATTACTCTGCACTAAAAAATGACAAAATCATGGAATTTGCAGGGAAATGGATGGCACTAGAGCAGATTATGCTAAGTGAAGCTAGCCAATCCCTAAAAAACAAATGCCAAATATCATCTTTGATATAAGGAGAGCAACTAAGAACAGAATAGAAAGGAAGAGCATGAGAAGAAGATCACCACTAAACAGGGACGAGAGGGGGGAGGGAAAGAGAGAGAGAAGGGAAATTGCATGGAAATGGAAGGAGACCCTCATTGTTATACAAAATTACATATAAGAGGTTGTGAGGGGAAAGGGAAAAAAAAAACAAGGGAGAGAATTAAATTACAGCAGATGGGGTAGAGAGAGAAGATGGGAGGGGAGGGGAGGGGGGATAGTAGAGGATAGGAAAGGTAGCAGAATACAACAGTTACTAATATGGCATTATGTAAAAATGTGGATGTGTAACCGATGTGATTCTGCAATCTGTATTTGGGGTAAAAATGGGAGTTCATAACCCACATGAATCTAATGTATGAAATATGATATGTCAAGAGCTTTGTAATGTTTTGAACAACCAATAAAAAAAAGAAAAAAAATGCTTTTTGCAATAGTACCAGTTTAGCTTAAAACTACCAGTACTACTATGACAACTTAGTAACACTGCTGGCTGAGTATGATATAAGGTCATTCTGGTCAAAAGACTGCAATTCCAAAAACATCTTTAGGAATATAGAATGAATTGGAACTGATACCTATTTTCTGTGGTAAATGCAAGAATCTGAAATTCTCTAACAGCAACAACAACAAAAAAATAGAGTGAGATGAGGAAGATGGAATTGTCAGACAAGCATCCCTTCTGCCCTTTCCTTTCCCTGGCTCTTAGATTTCTGTGTATGTCATTTGGCAGAACTGGAGTGTAGGTGAGTTTGCTTAGGTGAGGACACAAGGGAAAATGGTAATGATAGCGTTTATTCATTTAAAAAATTTTATCTCATTGCCTAAAAATGACATGATTTCTCTTATCAAACAAAGTTTTTATTGACTTAATGGAGTAGGTGTTTTTCTTTTTGAAACCGTGGTAAAAATCACATAAAATAAAATGTACCATCTTAAATTTTTTTATATACCCAAAAGATTAAAAAAGGGTCATGAAGAGATAATAGAGGTATTTGTACATTCATGTTCTTTTATAGCATTATTCACATTAACTAAAACATAGAAACTACCCAACTGTTCACTGACAGAATGGATAAGCAAAATGTGAAGAAGGAAATTCTGACACATGCTACAACATGGATGAGACTTAGGATATTATGCTAATGGAAATATGCCAGTCACAAAGAGACAAAAATTGCATGA